TACAAGGCTGCGGCTGCAGGCATGTGCGATGTGGTGATTTGCAGGGTTTCTGAGTTTAGTTCGATGTTTACTAAGGATTCTGGTGGTGAATAACTGTAGTGGGAAGATGAATGAGATTGCCTTGCTCAAAGTATAATCCTGGGTCGACAGCGATAAGTCGATCTTTGGACGTCTCATGATGCGATGAGTCTTGCTGATAGGACCAAACATATACGATATTTATCAGGGATTCCATATTCCAACAATCCTTTTACTCACTAATTAATAGATGTGTAGTCATTTTGGAAGTGTCTGATGAAAGGAGGGAATTATTGGTGCATCATGAATCATGAACAAAATGTTGCATCAAGATGAGAGTTTGGTAGGTGTATGTAGATGGCTTGATTCTTGTTTGTTTTGTGTAGTATATAAATGTTGTGAAAAGATGTACTTTTGATGAAATATGTGTCTTCCATTCTGGCGACAATCAGGAGAATAAAACGCGCCCAGCATCCCTGGTATAGAGGACGTATTTGAATATCAAGTATCGGGAGGGAGGATTAGGGAGGTGGCTGTATATATGGCTTTCATTGGCGTTAATTCTTAGACGATAACAAAAGCCTACATCCAGTGACATATAATCAACCATCAAGGTCCGTTCGTCCAGAGTCCTGGTCGCATATGGTCAAAGCGAACTCCAACATACATGTCGAATTCATCAATCAAGTCGTCACATTCCTCTACTGTTATGTCAGGCTCATCATCGCTGATGAACAGACGGATAATCACTTCCTGCAATAGAGGCACCCGCCGATGACGGTCCGACAACCGAAGGAAATCCGCCACCACATCCTGGAGAACGGGCACTGTATTGGAGGTCAACCCCTCTGCCCTTCCCACATATTGGAAGTCCCAGCGTAGGCCAAGCCTTTCCAGTGTTACTGGTAAACCTCGATTTATACAAGGCTCTTCTATATCCTGGAATCCATTAAGCAGCTGGACCGGTGATTCGAGTGTTTTGAGCCGATTAAAACCCTGGAAGAATTCAGGCATCATAGATCTGAATAAAGGACCCCATATGTTGGTGTCACTGGTAATCTCCAGGCCTATTGGTATGCTAGAGAGGCTGATTGAGAGGTGCTCTAGACACCCATACAATCCTTTCAGTCCATCCAGAATGTATTCTCCATCATTGTAAGAGGGTACAGACTGATGCCAAAAATCTTCCTCTTCGTAGGTCATACCAAGGTGAAGAGTGCGAAGGCTTTTCATTCCTTGTAAGATCTTGAAGAGCGCGCAGTCCATTACTGAAACGTGGTCCAGGATAAGGGTTTCAAGTGCCGTGTAGTCCGTTTGAATACCTGGAACCCGCTCGAGCTGAAGACTATGATGGCTACGTAGCCAGACCTTGAGGTGCTTGATCTTTTGTAACCGAAATAATGGGATCACTTGTGATGAAAAGCAACTCGGAACATGCGTTTTGTCACGCAAATGTGGGAGTTTGTTTTGTAGTGCGTTAGTTCCGTAATCAATCTCTTTGAGGTGGTCAAAGTTATTTTGCAACTCTGCAGAATATATATTCTCACCAGAGATAAGGCGCTCGAGTATCATTCCAGGAAGTCCGCCATTTACGAGGAAGGTGTAATCGAGCTTGAGAGACCTTAGATTATAGAGAAAAGGTAGGAGGAGGGCCACCATGGCGTACACGTTTCGTGCTGCAATGGACCTGTGCCAATCTGAACGGTCCTTCGGGCTTTCAATGATACAACCCACAGTATATCGAAGATAGTCTATTTCCTGGTAAAAGGGCATCTTGTCATTCTTAATGATAGGGGTCAGGTCAAGGCTGCACCCTTGGATCCCAGGACTCTCAATGATCTGAGTCTTTTGGGGAGGACTGCGCCCCAGTAAGTGCACCTCTCGGATTAAGCCACACAGGCGGCTGCGTGTGTCCTTATTTCGGACAAGAGTTGTCCACAGCGACATGATTCGGTATCGAGACATCTTGCCATTCCAATCCCATTGAATCTTTCGATAGAGATAGCGAGTGGCAACACGATTTAGTGTGCGGGATGTCAAGCAAATGCTGTTGAGGTCTCCGGTCTCGAGATACTCGCAAGTCTCATTCCAGACATCTTCCATAAAAGGAAAGTCAGACATCGTGGCGATCGATTTGATGCTTGCGTTTCCGATTTTGTGGTGTCTATGGGCATGTGGCGATATATCAAGATGTGCTCAATCATCTATAGGATCACAGCACCTTATAAAGGTACCATGATTCTGTGTTGTCAGTGATACTCTTGGGATCTTGGAAAATCCCCGATTATAGCATTATTCTGCGAGATTAGTAGGTTTGAGGATATTCTGCTTACCATCCAGTAAGATGTAAAATCTGATCCTGTACCAGCCAGCCTACTAATGAGCCGTTTTGCGAACCGGTGCTTTTCAACATTTTCTGGCGTGTTCCGAAACCTTACAAACGGCTTGTTGATTTTGTGGAGTACTTCAGTCGTCACATGCTGGTAAAGTGAGAATCTGTATTCTTTGGGCCAGACGCCACAGTAATAAGAACTTCATCACTGAAAAGTGCGCTGTGGAAGACTCCGAAAAGAAAGCAAGATCTTGAGAGGAAGAATCCACGTAGGTCAGTCACATGGGGCCTAAAAGGTAGTCATTCACAGTTATAATCTCTTTCATTATAATGGGCCGGACAATAAACTTTTCTTGTAAGGATATGTGCCGCAAAGTTATTTTCTATGATTACTGGGCACAAAGCAAAGATCACGGCTGATGGTACGGAACATATCTGTCTCCATTGCAGCACCACTCATACATCTGTAACAGAGGGACGACTGACATGGATTGTGTAGAAGATAGAACTGTGCATCAGTCAAAGCAATGACCAACCATAGCCCCGGTGACACCCTCGAAGAGGTTTTGGTAAGGATATGAAGTCATAAGAAAGGTGACCATTACTCAACCGTAATCTGCGCCATGAATGCATTGCCCTGAGACCGATAGAATAAATTCTTGAAGACGCTCTCTCCTCGGCGTACTCAGAAAGGCGCCCTCAAATTCAATATGTCAAAGATGTAGTATGCGGGACCCAGCGGCAGGTTCATTCAATTGACCCGGAAATACATTCCCGCTTTCCTGTCGTTAGTGCCGTCAAGGAGCCGCATACCTTACATAGATAATATGCTTGTTGCTCTCCTTTCCTTTTCTATCATGAGCATTTACTATGGCATTAGGTATCTGCGTTAACAACATTCTTTCGTAATGTAGGATTGCCAAAAACCTGTTCTTCGAGGTTTGAGGCCTTCCAGTAAAGAAAGCCTCTTAGCGGTGTTTCAACTAGAGGAGACACTTTGTGTTCGGCGATATATCCTCAATGCCTGGATAGTACTAATTACTGGATACCGTGAAGAAGCTAGAACTGCTGAGTCTGAACAACACTAAAGCATCATGAATGAACCATCTATTCTATACTGAATGGAGAAACCTGCATTTTGATGAACCCAGCCACCCCTACTCAGACCCCTTAATCCTCCCACAAAGCACCACATCCTCCCCAAGCGGATACCACTTCACGCCGGTCAACCTCGAAGCCGGAACAATCACACCCCCCTCGACCCTCCTCTTCGGTGAAACCACCACGCCCCCCTGGCCCAACCAAGTCGGAGCAATCGTAACAATCACCGAATCAACCAACGACTGACATCCCGGCTCAAGCAACGAGTTGATGATTGAACCACCCCCTTCAATCATCACACTCTTTAGTCCCTCCCGCACAAGACACTCCAACAACGCAGTCCAATCAATCCGATGCGCACCATCCGAACCCACCCCCATCGGCAACGCAATGAACTTCCCCCCATGACCCTCCAGAACCTCCTTCTGAGCCGCAGAAGGCACCGTCTCCGCAGCCGTAACAATAAACGGAGCCCTGCCGCGCCCATTCCTCGCTAGCTCAAAGATCTTTGACTGCGCTGTAAACTCCCATCTGGCTGAGGGGTCGATAATGATTGGTCGGGGTTGGCCCGCCAAACCTTCGGAGCCGTATCCGCCTACCCCTGCCAATCGACAGTTCAGGCCGGGATTATCGGCCACGGCGGTGCCTACGCCGATAAGAATAGCGTCATGGCGCGAGCGTAGATAGTGCGTCATAGCTTTGGATTGCGGGCCGGACAGCACGGTCCGCGTGCCCGGGGCCAGAGCTAATTGTGAGTCGAGGGATGTGGCGAAGGTGAGGGTGGTGAAGGGGAGCGATGACGATGACGGGTTGCCATCTTTGGGTGGGAGATGGTGTTCCAAGAAGGTGCGGTCTTCGGTGGGGAAGTTGAGGCTATCCATAGTGGTGGTGGTGTTGTTATTGTTGGATTGATGGTGGTGCGGTATCGGTGATATTAGCTCGGATTGGATGGCGGGGTGTACTGATGCCTCAGGCATAATTTTGAGATTTGAGTGGATTCAGTTCCGGGGGTTGTTGATTGGTCGGAATTGTGGCCGCTTTGCTTCGAAAGTCATCGCATCTGATTGGTTGGTTTTGGATGCTTCCTTTCAAATCCAGTTTTGGCCGTCAGCGACCGGTTCATTGCATGGCAGTAATTATTAATCTGCATGGTAATGTGATGTGGTTAGAGAGATATCGAAGGTTTATGCTAGACTGATAGTTAGTATGTCATCTCCAGGCGGACTGCTGAATTCGGTCCCAGTGAACCGTGCTATATGCTAGAGAATTGTTCACGCGGTTACTTAATATCCCATGCTTTCAACAACATTGAACAATCCAGTACTTTCTTTGATGACCTTGTCGGAATATCCATTTTTGGAAATACACTTGCGTCATGTGACCCCTCCAATTATCGGTCAATTCCGGTCGCCTTCTCCCTGCCCTGTTCTCCTCAACCGGCACACACGATGCAAATCATTGTTGTCAGTGGTGATACAATCAATAAATCGGTCTATAGGACTTCTATTTAGAAATCGCTTGATATTCAAAGAATTTCGGGGCTTGATACCTTTCAACATTGAATGTTCCAAGTCTCAACATGACAGGTCCTTGATTTTGGGCACACAGCAGAATGAATTACCTTCAAACACTGAACTTCAATAAATATGACACATAGTTTGAACAGCAGATGCTGGCAGAGAAAACAATACAATGTACATATGCAATGCAAGTATCGCTTCATAAGGCACACAATGCAACAATGACAAATCATCAACGCCAAGATACCTTCGCTCCAGTACGTAATACAGGTACTGACACATCCCTCTTCCCATCCCATCAGGAGGTGAACCACATGAATCTGGGCATCAAAATTAGCTGAAAGCGCAATCCTTAGTCAAGCAAATACCTACATCTCATAGGCCATAGAGGGAATATCCTTGCAAAGTGAGACACCAGATCGAAGAAGGGATATGGTTGCACCCGTCAGCACAAGTATGGCCAATGGACGAAACGCCAGAAACCAGGCATATCTCCACACGACCCCTACTGCGGATCTGTAAAGAATCTGATCAGCTCGCTAGCAAAGTTAGTTAGCAATCGTGCTGCAGCTTACATGAGAGTGGAGGTGGAGGACATCTCGGTTAGTCGTGGGCGTTCTTTCTCAACGAACAAAAGGCCTTTGTGGTATTGAGGGAGAGGACTTTCAAACTTCAATGATGAACAAAACGATCAAGACACGATCCTGGAAGGTGGAAAAAACAAGCCAAGGCTTTTATGTCAAGGTTATATCTCATTTGCTTGCGCCATTGCCAAGGTGGCAGCCTGCTATCGTCATCCCCAACGGGTCTCGTCCGAGCCACAACAGCGGGGGTAAACGTTGCACCGCGCCAAAGACACTGGATCTTTAGATAGAATTGTCTAATCCCATTTAGGAAGGCCCATGGTGAAAAATGCTGCCTGAACCCGATGATCCTACCAAATCCTGCCTTCCGACTATCCGTAAGCTGTCCACGGGGTCCTCGAGGGCTGGCCAACCAGGAAGGCTTGCTGGGTCAAGTCGCGCCAGATGCGAAGGGTGACTGGGCAGGGCAGCCGGAAAACTTGCGTGGGGGATCCACTATTGGCTCCTCGGGAGGGGAAAGGGGCCCGCTCCCTCAGCCCTACAAGGCTGCTGCTGGATTCTGTGAAATATCAGTTGACCCCTGGCTTTGCGCAACGTGGATGTCCTGTTTCTTCCTGCTTGCTCTTGCAAAATAAATCACTCTCTTTCTACCTGTTCCGGGCCAGGCGCTCACGGATGAGAACCGTGTCGATCTTTGACGTTTTGCTTGTTCGATCAGTCAACAAGCGTCTACATCATAGAATGGGCTGAGTGTACGCCTTTTCTGCCCGTTTCTGGCTTTTGTGTTTCTCTTGTGGCTACAACCGTTGTGTATCAAACCTGCTTTTTGTCGCTCTTTTCCCCTCCCTGAGGTGGCTTCTCAGTCCGGACTCACAGAATGGACGCGAAGGGACTCCACCGGTTTTCCCACTTTTCCTGTCGAACCCAGCAGGTCGTCACCTCGTCCACCTGGGGGGGCCTGCTCATCGAGCAGTCTACCTTGTCTGCTGACACCAAAGGTTTGGAGCGGGACACATGGTGGGTTGACATTTGCGACGCCACCGAGGAAGAGGTCAGCACTGTCTGCCAGGCATTGTCCATCCACCCTCTGACGGCAGAGGACATTGCGACTAGGGAACCTCGCGAGAAGATTGAAGCATTTCGGAACTACTATTTGATCTCCTTCCAAACCTTGCTTCCAACAGACGACCTCAAGAGTTCTCGAAGCCTCAAGCCATCATCGTCTATCCCCGGCTCCTCAGGGTTCTACATTCTGGTATTCAAGAATGCCACAGTGACCTTTTCTCCCAGTGGCTGTCACCACATCGCCCGAGTCCGGGACCGAATCCGTCGGACACAGGACACGCATCTCGTATCGAGTGATTGGATCTGCTACGCTCTTATGTACGACCGCTTTCTCTTGTTCTAATCCTCCCGACTACTGACAAACCAAACAACAGTGACGAGATCATCGACGATTTCGAACCGTACATGCGCGCAGCAGAACGCGAAGCCGATGCGATCGAAGATCAAGTGTTCATCGCCCGCGTCGACGACGTCAAGGCGCTCATTCCTCAACTCGACAGCCTCCGCAAGAGTATCACTCAGCTCATCCGCTGCTTGACCGGTAAATACGACGTCTTAAATGGCTTTGTCAAGCGTTGTCAGGCGAAGGACAGAAATCCAATGTTCCCGGATGGCGATCTTTTGGTGTACCTGGGCGACGTGCAAGACCATCTGGTGACCACATTGACCAGTCTGTCACATTTCGATGAGATTGTGGGACGGTCGCAATCGAATTTCCTGGCGCAGCTCAGCGTGAACAATATCCGGTTGAGTTACGATGTCAATGCGGTCTTGAGTAAGGTGACCATCCTGGCGACAATCTTTGTTCCCTTGCATATGGTCACTGGGTTATTTGGTATGAATGTGGAGGTCCCTGGACAGAATGTGGAGAATCTTGGATGGTTCTTTGGTATCGTAGGGTGCATGTGTGCATTTGTCGTGGTTTGCTGCTTGCTTGCGAAGAGGCTGCGGTTGCTCTAGACACGATTTAGGGTCCTGGCAATATTCTCATATGGGTCGCAAATCATCCATGATAGCATAACTTGGGCGATGATATTCGCAAATCTTCCTGTCGGACAAGATCTCTCAGCGTATAGTAATGAGCTTGAGGACCGTGCAGAGTTTTGAGGGTTTGTAGAAGTCACGCCGTCACCTCACCTCATTTCTCTATCCTTAATCTTCCCGTCAACTCACCGTTACCAATCTATCGTCTGTCAAGACATTTGTGATTGTCTAATCACCTCTCATGCTATCTCTGACTAATAACCATATCTCTCAATCGATATTTGTTATCTACGAGATCTCCGACCAAGGTCCCATACAGCAAGCTTCCCCGTCCCCGCTCCTGGCCAGGGACGACGGACCGTCCCATGTGGAGAACATCGCAAAATATGAGGCGCTGCAGACGGAACACGGGCAGGCAAACCGATCCAGCCGGGTCGCTGATCATACGAGTATCTGCTCATTGCTGTTATCAACCAATGGGCCTGCAGACTAGTGTCGGGGCTTGATAAACTGAGGGTCGAAGACACGGTCGCGGACCGCGCAATTACAGATAAGCACTACTGTTCGATCATGGACCATAGCTAATCCTTCCCAATAGAGTGATAGTTTCCAGAAACTATGTCAATGAAACCTTAGACAATATCGACCAGTCTGTTGTTGGGATAGTCTAAGGGTATAACATGGCCGGACTATACACACGGCTGGCTGGCCAGGAATCCTGGAAAAACTTGCCCGTTGCGGTACCTTTGCACGTGACATGGGAGAGCTGCTGCAAAGAATGCTCATCCCTACTGTGTCTGTCAGTCATTGTCAGCATCGGAAAGATACGGCCCCGACACCTTATCTAGCCAGTAAGACAAGCCTTTCCATCACTGCAGCCAAGACGCACTCCTATCGGACAGTCCGCCAATGGCATTTACCAGCTGCAAGATAAGCCAGTTAGGTAATCCAACAGTGTCCCACCAAGACATTCGGCCCGATTAATGACTTCGCTGCACTAAGCTGCCTCCGTCTCTCCCCTATTCTCAGCCAGGTTACCTGAGAGAATCACGTAAACTCGCAACCACCATTCATACGACTCATTCACCTCGCACATGCAAATTACTCTGCCTTTCCAATAGTTTCTATCACCGCCACACTAGGCATGTTAGCCGAGTCAACAGAGGACCCCAGGCCCGTGCAATGACATCAGCGGTACCGGGGGTTCCACGTGGCGTCGTGGCTAACGGATAACACCAATCAGGGGCAGCGATAGACGAGGAGAGCCTCTGGGAAATGAACGCCGGCGGGGGACGGCTGGCCATTGGGGAGGCGATGGATTCGAGGACCGGTGCACCCGCTAACCTTGGTGTAGGAAAGCTGTCCCGCGAAATAGCCAGGAATCGCAGACGGGATGTCATGGTGATCCACTCGAGTCCACTTGCCCATGTTCCTGTGCCTCGTCTCCGTGGAATAGGGAGATAGAGGGGCAACTCCGGAACGCCAGTACGCCGTAGCGGCCTTCTATACGACCCGCCGGCGAAGCTTACCAGGTCGCTGCGTCGCTTGACCATTGAGCTTCGTTATAACTCGTCCCACCGACGCGCAACTTGGTCTTGCCGATATGGGACTAAACCGGATATATCTTAGGCCGAATTTGATGTTGCTGACGCCTTGCATGCACCTTTAAAATCTTTTCGATTTCTCTTAAAACTTTTTTTTTCGTTTTCTTTGTTTTCTGTCAATTAACGCTTCCTAACTCGGCCTGTCCTGTCTATTCTGCCTCAACCACGCTGCATAACCGACAAGCAATTATGGCAGACATCAAAGCAGCTGCGAATCCAGCCATGGAGACTGACGGCGCTGAACTCGAGAAAGTCCGCCTCGCCGGTACGAATCAGGCCGACACCCAACTCGCCGCCGAGTTTGGTTACAAGCCCGTCTTCAAGCGAGAGTTCGGGTATCTCTCCACTTTCTCGTTCGCAGTCAGTATCAGTGGTCTGTTTGCAACCATCATGACCACCATGTCCTATCCTCTCGAGGCGGGAGGAAGCAGCGCGGTGGTATGGTGTTGGTTTGTTTCGGGAGCCGGGTGCATGTGTATCGCGGTAGGTAGTCCAATATGACAATGCGTTGTGCGGAGGCTGATGGAAGATACTGCAGCTTTCGGTTGCTGAGCTTGTATCTGCCTACCCGACCTCTGGAGGCCTGTAAGTGTCACCATTCACTCGGGACGACCGTTGCTAACCCTAAGCGACAGATATTTTACGATCTCAAGACTTGCTCCACATGATTGGGTTCCATCGATCAGTTGGTATGGAAACACTGATGGTTTGCTTCAGAGGATGCATGTTGATACTGTTTAGGGTGACCGGTTGGTTAAACTTTCTTGGACAGATCTGTGGTGTGGCCTCGTCCGAGTATGGTGGTGCGCAAATGCTCCTGGCCATTGTCTCGATGTGCAAGGGGATGGACAACTACGAGATCAAAACCACAACTACCGTTGGTGTGATGGCTGGTTTGACTTTCATCACCGGTCTGGTTAACTCTCTGTCTACATACTGGATGGAAAAGATGACCAAATTCTATGTCATCTTCCACGTCTGCATCCTCGTGGCTTGTGCTATTGCTCTTCTGGTCATGACCGACGACAAACACGATGCCTCGTATGTTTTCACCCATGTCGAATCGACCACTGGTTGGCAGCCCATCGGTTTCAGCTGGCTGTTTGGCTTCCTGTCTGTCAGCTGGACCATGACGGACTATGATGCCACGGCTCATATTACCGAGGAGATCAGCAACCCTGAGATCAAGGCGCCTTGGGCGATTTCAATGGCTATGCTGTTCACTTATCTGGCTGGCTTCCTGTTCAACATCGTTCTGTGCTTCTGCATGGGTGACCCGAACGCTATCCTTAACTCCAAGATGGAACAGCCAGTCGCACAGATCTTCTATAACAGCCTTGGCAAGGGTGGTGCCATCTTCTTCACCGTTTCTGCTCTGCTCATTATCAAGTTTGTCACCTTCACAGCCATGCAGTCGCTTGGCCGAACTGTCTTTGCCTTTTCTCGTGACCGCATGCTTCCCTT